AGAACGAAAGAAAGAACGAACCAAAGAAAGAACGAAATAAATCAAACCAGAAAGAAAGCAAGAAAGAAAGGAATGGAGTATGAGATGAACAAAGAAAGAACAACAGAAAGAAAGAAAAGAAATGAACGAGCGAAAAAAGAAAGTCCAGAATAAAAAAGCAAAGTTGGAAAAGACGAAAGAGAAAGAATATGAAATAATCGCAGAAACAAAGATACAAGCAACAGGATACTACATAGTCCAATCGAATTTACCATAATATCGTAATGTACCGTAACATAATATGTCATAATGTAACCTAATGTTATAAAATATACTACATATTATGTTGTAAATATACACACTGTATTGTACTATGTTACAATGTACTACACTATAAACTAAGATGTTGTTTTGTTCTATGTCATCTTCTGTTATATTGTATTGTTGTATTTTCAGTATGCTATTATATGCTATAAGAAGCAAGGTTCTGTTATGTCAGAAAATGTCACACCATTTTTGTGTTGTCGAACCATCTTATGTCGTTCTTCTGGTTTACTATGTTATATATATATTGGGTTAGAATGCTAACGGAAGAAGAGACACGAACAGGCACGGAAGAACAAAACACCCGCCGCCGCGCTTTTCGAAACGTGCAAGCTTGATTCAAAGAGTGTTTTCGAAGCCCATCATGTGAACGTTGTCTCTGCAAATGGGGGGGGCTGCGCCCCCCCCAACCCCCCCGCTGTTTTAAGCCGTGCAGGGTTGCTTTGAAGCATATGCCTTTTTTTGAACCCCAGCAAATGAGGGTGTCTCCGCCCTTGTAGATACATGCTGAACCAGAATCGCCAAATGAGAGGCGTGTTTAAGATAGATGATGAAGCGGAATACCAGCAACAGCTACAACAGGAAATCCGTCCTAAATGTGAAATTGGAAGGAAAATTTGATTTTCCCGAGGAACAACCATATGTTGTCCTTCTGAAAACCTGAAGAAATGACACGAACGCCATAGGTAATAGGAAATAGGTTTTTCCTACGAAAAATCAAGGAAAACTTAGGGAAATACCACGGAATCCGCAGGAATATCGTGTTTTCCAGAGCAAAAACCAGACAGATCCTAAGGAAACACAAGAAAATCCGTAGGAAAACAGTGTTTTCCATTGGAAAAATTCAGGAATTGCTGTATTTTAAGTTATTTTTTTTTGATCCTTATTTTATTTTTTTTTGATGCCCCTGCCCCAGGAATTGCTGTATTTTGCGTGATTTGATTTTTTTTGATCCTTATTTTATTTTTTTTGATCTTTCCATTTAATTTTTTTTGATCCTTATTTAATTTTTTTTGATCCCTCACCCTTTTCCTTGGGAAGGGTACCCCATCGTAGCCTTCGTCGGCCGTTTCGAAGGCAAGTGCCGGGTTGATGGCCGTGTGGGGCAGCGGCGCGTCGGAGATGGGCTCCGGTGCATTGGGGTAATCGTCTAACCAGAAGTGACTGGACGTGTAGATGCTGGCCTTGCGGTTGGGCAGAGGAATGTCGAGGGGCTCGCCCTCCGCTATATAGCCCAGAACCAGGCTCAAGTTTTGTTTCTGGTTTTGGGGCGGGTTAGCCGTGCAGTTCCTTGTGTTAGTGCCTGGGCGCACCCGGCTGGCACAAGAAGGTACAGCGGGCAGACCTGCCGTGCGCATAGAGGAGGGCAGCCATAGGTCACTTCAGCCATTGCTTTACCTCTGAAGTGAACCTTTTTCATTGCAGCTGAATTGGTGCAGCCGTGCTCACGTGATAACCAACAATTTCCGGCTCTGCATTACTTCTTCGCATGATTTTTCATTTGCTGTGGATTTGCAGTACATACTACAGTATCCTTTGGACCTGGATTGCACAGACAGCATTGGAATTGAGCGCTGCGCCCTCCTGGAACGGAGAGTCTCGGGGCCTTGTGGAAGACTGTACTTCAGAATGGATACCGACGACACACAGTCCTGTTGTGAAGACGGCGAGGCCACCGGACATCATCAGCACATGGAGCCTAGGACAGAGGTCATTGATGTATGGAACTCCTCGGATTCAAGCCCGAATTGCAGCCCCAGGATGGTGTTTTGGATTTGACTCTTCTGATAGGTGTTGCATTTTTGGACGTCGTGCTGCATGCAGCACACATACTGCACGCATCCTGCCCATCCCAGACCTGCATTCTAGTTGCAGGTCGCGCAATCTTGTAGCCATGCGCGGTCCCAAGTCCGCGGCCTATGCATTCTTCCCGATGCTCAAGACAGACTCGTGTCGCATAGGTGGTGTGAGGGTTGTGACTGTGGCCAAGGCAGTCGCTGAAGCCGCTCGAAATTTTTTGATTTGTGCAAACATCGCAAACACACTTGGCGATCAGAAGGACGCAGAGCCCAATCGTCCCTTGACATCTACACAAAAACACACATTTGCACTCGAAACTTTGCAGAGTGGTATTGTTGTTCCTCGCTCGGCCGTTCAGGTCGAGTTTTACATTCGATGCATGTTCACGCGCGCTGGTTTCGCTGCAGCCCTCTCTTCCACCTTACCCGTACATATTAGTGGGGGCGCATTCCGAATCCAGATCAGGCGCGCTCCATTGCAGCAAGCGTATAGGTTGCCAGCTGGTCATACCCCTAGGCTCCGAATAGGCAATTTACTACTTTTGACTATAGGCAAGTTAATTTTTAACTATATAGTTAATTTTTGTTGAATTACCTATTACCTATAATAGTTAATTTTTAACTATTAAACTACGGTTAATTTGCATATTTCGTGTTGCGGGGCTTGTCCGGCAACGATCGACTGCAGCTTCTTGTGGCTTCGACAGCTTAGGGACGAGTGGACTTCGTAGAGCCGTGCCCTGCAGCCATGGCTCCGAAAGTCGAAGGCGGACGGCAGTTGCCACTGGCTTTCAGCTTAACCGTCGAGAGACAGCGAAGCCCAAAGCGAAGGCCAAAGGAAAGCCCAAAGCCCAGGCAAAAGAAAAGGCCAAAGGCAAGGGCGAACCCAAGGCCAAAGCCAAGGCCGAACCCAAGGCCAAAGGCAAGGCCGAACCCAAGACCAAAGCCAAGGGCAAAGCAAAGGCCAAAGCAACGGCGGTCGACACGGAGCAAGAAAAGGCTGCAGCAGCGGCAGAGCCGCCAGAGGAGACCGAGGTTCCAGAGGCCCCGACAGAGAAGAAACGGAAGGCCACGGAAAATCCGGCTGAGGAGCCTGACAACAAGAAGCCCGAAAAGAAGAAGCCCAGCGAAGTGCTACGAGAGCGAGCCACGGCCCTCGTTGCGGAGCTTCCAGAGGACGTTCCGCCGGCCAAGGCTGCTGGTGAGGAGTTGCAGACCCGTGACAGGCGTAAGGCTTGGTTCTTCGAGAAGAGTTTGCCAAATTTGTCGTCGGAGCTGCAGAACTTCTTCCGGAGCAAAGACGTCTCCCGGGTTTCTTGACATGATTGGTCTGCATAGTGGGTTTAGGGTTTATAGGGCTAAGATAAAAATCATAAGTTCATTTTTTTCGTGTGTGGCCCTGATATAAGTCTCAGGCCGCGAAGACCAAGCTGATCAACGACGTCGTCAAGCCCGGGACGACGACCAAGTGGGAGATCAACGAGAACCACCCCACAGTGCAGACCTTGACTTCTCACTACCGCTCCGTCTTGGGGAAGACGAAGCAGAAGTCTTACCCGAAGGCGATTATGGTGGGCAAGTGCGGATCAGAAGCGGCCTTTCTGAAAGCCCTCCGCGAGGGAGACGTCGTCGAGATCACGGACAAGGGCCAGACCCAGTACATGTACAGGCAGCTGGAGGTTCAGCACCGGACCGCCGTCGTCCAGAAGACCGGCCTGCAGCAGGCCGCCGCCTGTGACCAGGAGAGCAAGGACAAGTTGGAGGCCTTCTGCGACAACTTCGACCCAGAGTTTGAAGTGGTGCCGCCGAGCTCGAGCAGTGTCACCCCGGCGGCTTTCGCAGTGCCAGGAACCCCGCCGCCCCCTTTGGCCATCCTTGACAGGCAGCCGGAGCCCGGCATGCTTCCTGAGCTGGACAAGAAATGCATCGAGAAGATCGATCAGGCCTTGACTTGGCTGATGCAGCTCAAGCAGGCGACATATCGGCTGAACAGCAGCACCTCGCAGACGTGGCAGAACCTGAAGCGCCAGTTGGACGAGAAGTGGGCTCAGCTGCTTCCCTTGCAGTCACAGCTTGAGACCTTCAAGCTTTCCAACAAGGGAAGCTTGGCTCAGCTGAAATCTGTGCTGACGGGTGCAGCAACCAAGCTTCTGGAGACCCAGGAGCTGCTGAAAGGTCTTGTTGCAGTCAGCTGAGCGGCTGAGCCCGGGATCTGTGCAGATCCAGACTTCATCTTTATCCGTTCTGCGACCAAGGAGCCGGCAAGAAGCAAGTAACTTCAGCTAGAAGGTTTGTGTGCCTCGGGCGGGGAGCCTGGAGCTCGCAGCGACTGTGCAGCAACAAAGAACAACGAAAGCTACAGGTCAGAAGCGGTAGAGATCATGCAGCATGTTTTGGTTTTAGAGGCCTTTTCCTTTGAAGCTGCACTCCATCCCCGTAGCCCTTTTCGGTTCAAGCCCCGGGGGATGCGGGATCAGCGGCCTCCGTGCAAGAGGCCGGCACGGGTTCAGAAACCTCTTAGTCATTATAGGAACAAAATCCGAAAGCAGCAAGCCAATCGAAAGAACATAAAAAAAATCCAGACCAGCTCCCAAGCGGGAGGCTGCTGGCGAGGACGGCTCCATCTCCAGACCAGCTCCCCAAGAGGGAGGCTGCTGGCGAGGACAGCTCTCCAGACCAGCTCCCTGCGGGAGGCTGCTGGCGACGACGGCTCTCCAGACCAGCTTTCGGGGAGGCTGCTGGCGAAGGTACGAAAGGCCTTCTCCAGACCAGCTCCCTGGAAGGCTGCTGGCGGGCTCGATGAACATAAACGCCCCCCCAAACCTTTCCCAAAGCCAAGCCCTCATCCCTAACTCTGCACCTGTCAGGCCGGCGGGTCCTTGGACACTGGTGGCTGCGATGCCGGGGCCGCAGACCGAGGCTCGTAGCTCCTCTGGGGAGGAGTCCGAGAAGGACTGCCCGACCCGAGAAGAGGCGGAGGCTGCAAAGGCGGCTGCAAAAGCCTCGCCAGGGCCGCCGGAGAGGACGGAAATAGCCGAAGGACTGCTGCAGAGCACGGCAGCAGAAGGGCCACCTGCCCCTGCGGAGGACGAAGAGGAAAAGCAAAAGAAGGAAAAGAGGAGGGCTGCCAGAAAGGAAAAAAAAAAGGCCGCCAGAGCTCGCGAGAAGGACTACGAGAAAAAAGTCAGAGACTTGAAGGACAGGGAGCAGGCTGTGAGGAAGAGGGAGCAGGAGCTCCGCGACCGTGCACGAACCCCAAGCCAGGAGAGCTCCAGCCGCAGCGACAGCAGACGACGATCTCGAGATCCCCGCAAGCGGCCGGAGAGGCGAGCTGCTAGCCCCTCTCAGAGCAGCAAGGCCACTCCGAAGCCGGAGCTCCGCTTGACAGCCGCCGCCACCTGGTGCTGGTGCCCACGGGTTGGCGAACACATGTGCCGCAAGTGGGTTCAGTCCCGATGGGCCCTGGTTCAGCATCTGAGATCCAAGCACGGACTCTCAGAGGAAGCGTCCGTGCAAGAGGCTGATGCGGCCTGGGAAAAGGAGCTCCAGCAAATGGAGCGATCCCGCTCTCCTCGCTCACCTCCAGATCTGAGGAGGCCTGCTTCGCCAAAGGGGCTGCCACCACAGGAGCGGGCACGTCTGTGGAGTTCGTGGAGCCGCCCAAACTAAGCGCGGCAGCTGCACCGAGCACGGCAGCTGCACCGATGGCAGCTCAGGCCAAAGCCTCGGCACAGGGCTCGGCACTCGAGGTGCTGTCCGTCATGTTCCGTGTGGCGGACCGGGTCTTGGAGAGGGAGCACCCCTAAGACCGTACGGAGCAGGCTCCGGAGGGCGCCAGATTCCTATGGCACTACAGTAGGCTGTAGGACACGAGCACCAAAACTGGTGGAACTCCGTAGCAGCCGGCACCGGCACTCATGCACTGTGGCGACCCGGAAAAAAGCAGCGTGTTCAGGTTTTGGGGTTTAGGGTAGTGTTAAGGTTTTGGGGTTTAGGGTAGGGTTAAGGTTTTGGGGTTTAGGGTAGGGTTTAGGGTTTTAGGGCAGGGCCTACCCGTCTAAAACCCTGCACCCCTTCAGCCTTAAACCCGAAAGCCCCAACCCTACACCCTAAAGCCTTGCACCCCTACCTTCAACCCGAAAGCTAGGCCCTGCAGCTCCGAGGCCCTCGACCCTGAAGCCTAAACCTGCAACCCTCCAGTAGCAAACTTCGAGCCGCGGCTCGGGCCGAGGCAGGCCCAGGCCCGGAAATTTTCTAGTCGAGGCAGGCCCGGGGCCGTGCCCGGCCTTGAAATTTTTTGGGCCCGGCTCCGCCCGGCCTGGAGCCGGCTCCGCCGGCAGCGGTAATTTAGCGGTAATTTCGACGAAATTACCATTCATAATGCGGTAGTTTCGCGGTAATTACTACTAAACTACCAGTAGTTTCGTGGTAGTTTCGACTCTGGTAGCGGTAGTTTCGTGGTAATTTCGATTCCCTCAGCGGTAGTTTCGCGGTAATTTCCACTGCAGACTGGTAGTTTCCATGCTGTACTACTACTGTACTACTACTACTGTACTAGTACTACTGTGCTACTAATGTACTTCTACTGTACTACTACTGTACTACTACTGTACTACTACTGTACTACTACTGCACTACTACTACTACTACTACTACTACTACTACTACTACTACTACTACTACTACTACTACTACTACTACTACTGCTACTACTACTACTACTACTACTAGACTACTACTACTACTACTACTACTACTACTACTACTACTACTACTACTACTACTACTACTACTACTACTACTACCTTACTACTACTACTACTACTACTACTACTACTACTACTACTACTACTACTACTACTACTACTACTACTACTACTACTACTACTACTACTACTACTACTACTACTACTACTACTACTACTACTACTACTACTACTACTACTACTACTACTACTACTACTACTACTACTACTACTACTACTACTACTACTACTACTACTACTACTACTACTACTACTACTACTACTACTACTACTACTACTACTACTACTACTACTACTACTACTACTACTACTACTACTACTACTACTACTACTACTACTACTACTACTACCTACTACTACTACTACTACTACTACTACTACTACTACTACTACTACTACTACTACTACTACTACTACTACTACTACTACTACTACTACTACTATACTACTACTATTACTACACTACTACTACTGTACTACTGTAGCATTACTCTATGGGCAGCGGTAGTTTCATGGTACTTTCGATTCTGGCAGCGGTAGTTTCATGGTAATTTCGATTCTGGCAGCGGTAGTTTCGTGGTAATTTCGATTCTGGTAGCGGTAGTTTAGCGGTAGTTTCGTGGTAATTTCGATTCTGGTAGCGGTAGTTTAGCGGTAGTTTCGTGGTAATTTCGATTCGGGTAGCGGTAGTTTAGCGGTAGTTTCGTGGTAATTTCGATTCCCCTCAGCGGTAGTTTCGCGGTAATTTCGACTAAACTACCATAGGGTTTGGTGCTCGGGCCGAACATTTCTCGGCTCCAGGGTAGTCGGCCACAGCCCGTCCGAGCTCCAGCCTCCAGTGGCCTCCAGCCTCGGCCATGCCCATCAAGAGGCCGGCAGCATCCGGCTCTGCAAAAACTCCAGCCTCGGCCGTGGCCATGAAGAGGCCGGCGGCATCCGAATCTGAAAAGACGGCGAGCAAGAAGCCTGCGAAGGCTCCAGGCCCAGCGACTGCGAAGACAGCAGCCGAAGAGACACCGGAGAAGCGTGTCAAGTTTCGAAGGCTCGAAGCCAAAGAAAGCTTGTCACTGTCCCTGGAGTCGGAGAGACCAGCCGAGAAGACACCGGAAAAGTGGCAGGGGCTGCTAAGGCTCCGAGCGGACTTTTCGCCGGGGCTGAGAGTGGACTTCTCGCCGGCGGGCTCAGATGCCACAACCAAGGTGCTTGGCTGCTTCTCTCAGGTTTCTGATGAGGCAGAGTAGGATCAAAAGCTGCAACTGTGAAGAGCAGCAGGAGGTCAGCGGTGAACGGCTGAGAAAAAGCAGCGGCACTGCCACACCCAGGCACGGATTGTTGTAAACCTCGTGTCCTCCAAATTCCAAACGATGGCAGCCGTTTCGGCTCAATCTGTATGTTTGCGGCATTTGTAATAGGACTGCAGTGAAGCTTTCAATGGTTAGTAATGGTATAGTAACCAAGCCTCCTCCTGGCCATGGTAGAAGCACTCCGTTCAGGTTCCAAACAAGGAGTTAGACAACGAGCGGCTGCAAGGGATGCTGCTGCCAAGAAACCATCCAGCCTGGCAGAGCACTTGTACAACCAGCAGTGTTGGGGTCAGCTGAGCTTGGCCCAAGTGAGGGACATAGCGGTTCGGGCTTGCGACGACTTCGCAGCTGCCGGGGCCGCTCCGCCTCCAGACCTTCAGATGCTGGGACGGTGAAACCCTTTCTTCAGCCTTGCTGGGAGAACATCCCCCTGAGCATGGGGGAGCGACAGCTGCCTTTCTTCAAGCCACATTACATCTTCGAGACCCTTAGAGATCAGAGACCTCAAACCTTTGCGGCCTCTATCTGTCCGGGAGAGGAGTCTGTGGCACGGTTTTGGCGGGAATGCGGAGACCATCCTGCCCTACGGCAGCACCCCGTCAGAGCCTTGCCTAACTTTGACAAGAGGGCAGTTCCCGTGGTCCTGCACGGCGACGGCGTGCCGATCACGGCAATAGGAGCTTCGCAGAAGAGCTGCTGCTTCATCAGCTGGCGGTCTTTGCTCTGCCGCTGGACGGCGACCCGAAAGCAGCACTACCTGATCTGTCCGGTGTGGTCTGATCACCTGGCCAAGACGAGGCAAGACAACACGGTCGATGCCATCTGGAAACAGATCTGCGACTCCTTCGATGGAATGCTGGCAAGCGCTGCCAGACATCGAAGCTACTTCGCAGTGCCTGTGTTCTGCACAGGCGACTTGGAGTGGTACAACCTCACCCACGGGTTACCAAGATGGAACTCATTGCGACCATGCGGTTTGTGCAGCGTGCAGCGAAAGGATATGTTCCAATTCCTTCGTGTCGACAACATCGAGGAAGATGCCTGGGTCATCCCTCGGCAGCACTCGTGCCGACTGCTGATCAGAACCCTGTCGCCCAAATCGGTGGTGCCAGATCTGATGCATACAAAACATCTGGGTGTGGATCAAAGGATATGTGGATCCGTGATTTGGCTTTTGGTCGCGGAGATTCTACCGGGCAGCTTCGACGATAATAGGGCCTCTCTTCTGGCTCAGATGAGAGCATTCTGGTCCGGAACATCCATGCGGGGCATTACGAACCTGACTCGCGGCATGTTCCTTGGAGACAAGGATGACCCCATGTGCAAGAAAACGTTCCCCTGCCTCAAAGCCAAAGCAGCGGAGACCCAGGCTTGTGTGCAAGCCCTCGAAGCAATCTGGACTGAGCATATGGATGCCAGCAAGGAACTTCACGTCCTGGTGCAGCTGGTGCTTCAGTTCAGTGCTTTGATCGATCGCAAGCTACGTGAGGAAGCCGACAGCTGGCACCCAGGCCGCAAGACGTGCGATGAGCTGGTGACTGCTGCAATTAGCATGCTACAGTGCATGACCCGTCTCACCAAGGAGTACCTGAGGCAGCAGCGATGCTTGTTCCAATTAACGTTTAAGTCTCACTGGCTGGTCCATGCTCTCCAGATCGCAGCCTGGATTTCACCAGTCCATGTCTGGACATACTCCGGCGAGGATTATATGGGTAAGGGCAAGATCCTCATGCAGGCATGCCTGCGGGCACGAAAGCCTCTCGCGGCTCTGACCCGCTTTGTTGCCCAATTCTCTAGAGGTCTGTGCCACGACATTCTGCTTGCAGAGCGGGATTCTGCATTCTTGCACTCCAAGATCAAGTGAACATCCCGTTGCGGATTCGAAAAATTTGCTTGCGTCTGTCTGAGTTTAGGTTTAGGATCGTGTGCAAGGTTTAGGATCCTTTATATGTAGGCTTGTCCCGCACAGTTGAAATTCATACATCGATCTCTGCTGCAGTGTTCGGTTCGAGCTGTTTTGTTCTGGTGGGGGTTGGCGGCAGCGGCGGCCGCCATGGCCTCCAAGACCAGACTCAAAGTCCTTCCTGAGGTCACTGTCTCCAAGCTGGAGACAGCGATCGAGAAAGGTATGGAAAACCTTCGGCATCGATCGTTGGATCGATGCCTCGCAGGCTTAGATGATATGACATGGAAGACTGCGTTGGCGACCCATGTAGCACAGTTCTGCAGTCTAGAGCCCCTGCTGCATCAGCTGTTGAAGGTGTGCCACAACGGTTTGCTGCCGAACTCGCTTCTGCTCAAGGCTTTGCAAGCGTGCCACAGCCGGAACAACTTCGAAGCAGTTCGACCAAGCCATGCCCTAGGGGAACAATGGTTGCAGAGTGCCCTGAGCTACTTCATGCTCAGATTGCGGATGATGACGGGGAAGCTGCGAGACCTTATAGACAACGAGCAACTCAGGAAGAGCTTCTTCAGCAGAGCGATCAAGCATCAGCAGGAGTTGATCTTGGGTCTGCTTCAGATCATTAAGCCCGAGCTGCAAGTGCAAGACTCGGATGGTGCAGCCAAGCCGTGGACTGCATGCGGGGCGAACGAGGACCCCCAGATGCCGTCGGAGGATGAGCGAGAGATCGAGAAAAACTTTTTGGAGTTGCAGCGGCCCAGCAAAGCTGCTGACCACCTGGCTCTGGTCCCTGCGAATGCACCCAGTGCTCCAAGTTCCAGCAGCAGGCCTCTGGGGTCTGGGAGCTTCATGCAGAATGCAAGCAGACGGGCTTTGGAAGCTGCCTTTGCTACAAGCCCGGCCAAGCCCATGTCAAAGGAGGAACGTCTTCAAGCCCTGCAGACCTCAACGGCTCCACTGAAAAGGCCCAGCATGAAGCGTCCAGCTGCTGCCCTGGCTGCCGCACCTGCAGCCGATGCCGAGCCTGCCGTCCCTGCTGCGGTGCCACGGGAAGGTGAGCCTGAGGACTTTTACAGGTGGGGCTGCTCCAAATGCCGCAGTCTCGTGCACGGCTGCGGCCGCTGCAAAGATTTCGCTGATCGCGGTCACAATCGTTATGTCCGAACAGAGGACGGTAAGATTTACCAAAAGAAACCTTGAAGCTCTCGTCTTGCGGCTGCGTGAAAAAAAGGGTTCGCACCGGGGTTCGAGGGTTTACCTTGGGGCTTGAGCTCTTATTTTAACCATTAAAAATAGTTAATTTTTAACTATTCCATAGTTAATTTTTTAACTATAGGCAATAGTTAAAAATTAACTATTGTCCTATAAATAGTTAATTATTGCCTATAGGTTGTAAATAGCCTATTCGGAGCCTAGGGGTAGGTGTCATCTGTGGCGCACCTGGAGGTTTCGTCGCGCCCCAGCTTTCAAAACGTGTCGATCCAGGCAGTCTGCTCGTTGGGGTCGCTGGACTTTTCGGTTTCGGTCTCGGTTTTCGGCTTTTGGTATTAGGTTTTGGCTGCCAAGTCGCGCCCATGCGGACACATGGGCAATCCCACAGGTTCATCAGATGGATGCTTTCACTGCTAGTGGCCGGCCTACGCGAGGGGGCGTGTCCATCCTTGGATCCCGACTTCGTGGATGGTTTTTCCTGTTCACTTTGTGTCTCAGGTCGCAGCCTCTGGCTGCAATGCCGAGCCCAGCTTCAGTGCATGGAGCTTCATTGCTACAGGGTCGTGATCTTATACCCTGGCAACGTAAGCATGCTTACAACAGGGCATGCCGACGTGCTGCCATTAAAGGTGTCACTACATACCGTGGCCGACCTTTTCGGCTTCCACCGCCTGTAGCCGAGCGGGTGGCTCAATGCATGCGTCAACCGGTTGCCAGATCTCGCACTCAGCCTGAAGCACCCTCCACTGCATCAGCTAGGCGCCAGCCTGATTACCTGGAATTGCGGAGGTGCCTCAGCCGTGTATGACCAATTCCTACTATGGCTCTTCGCATCGGGCACTGAGGTGGCCATCATTACCGAGACGCGGTGGTCATTTTCAGGATGTTGGACAGATAACCACTTCCACTACGTGCACTCAGGCTGCGGCCCGAGCCAGCGTGCCACCGGAGGAGTATTGGTCATTCTGTCTCGAAAGGTGACATCTGCAGCTGCGGTTCGATATCATGAGGCCGTTCCGGGTCGATTGTTGCGGGTATCTTTTACGCCGCACAGGACATCACGTACCTTCAATGTGATCGGTATCTACCAGCATGTCTGGAAGCCAGGAAATCTGGATGCTCGTCGACGGCTCTGGATTGCCCTTTCAGGTCTCATACATGATGTGCCCATCCGCAGCTGCCTGCTGCTTGCAGGAGATTGTAATGCCACGTGTCAACCAGAGGCCCGTTTCGTGGGTCGTGGTGTCCCCAAGGAATACAGTGCTGAAGATTCACACGAATTGCAGGACATCGTTCGGGCTCATGGTTTGGTTGCTCTGAACACCTTTGGACAGGCACCCGGTTTCACTTTCCAGTTTGGACCTAGGAAATCACAGCTCGATTACATATTCACGCGCGTGGCGCATGCAGATCGTATGGCCAAGACCTCTCGGCCAGACTATGATTTCCCGGTGGGTAGGCACGTCTCCCCTGATGCTGCATATCATTTCCCGGTTCAGGCCACTGTGGCATTTGCATGGCGCACACATGCGCAGGTGCCCCATCGGCATAACATTGACGTACATGGCATCGCTGCAGACTTTCAGCGAGGCTCGATTGACAAGTATTCAGTACTGACTGATCGTGTGATCTCCTGGAGTTCGCGACTGGATTTGACAACCCACACATGTGAGGATCCACAGTCCTCTCTGTCTGATCTGAATGCCGTCCTTGTCGAAACCGCTACCACTCTTTTTCCTGCGCGCAGGCCTGAAGTCCAGTCTCCATGGCAGAATCAGTTGCAAACGGGTCGCGCCACGCGCATGTGGGGTCTCTTTCGTCGCATGCGCTCATTCCAGCATACGCGACAAGGCATTTTTCGTGCATGGCGGTGCTGGGGTATGTTTCAGAAGCTTTACCGTGAACATGCCAAGTACTGTAAGATTCTTCGCACACAGAAGATCCTGGACTCTCTGCAAGAGGCAGAGGATGCAGCGCAAAGGAACGATGTTTGGCAGCTTTATCGCATTGTTCGACGCATGGCCCCCAAAGTTCCTTCCAAGAAATTCCAAATCAAACCGAAGGATCGGATTCTTTCCCCTAAAGAGGAGGCAGCAGCTTTGGTAGAATTCTATGAGGACCTGTATGAATCAGCCACTGCCCAGTCTGCACGCGCTCGGGGGTTAACGTCCACCCAATGCTCGCGCCGACCCACTGGCTCCACCAACGGCCATCGATGGACCCGGAGCTTCGCTCGGCCACACCTAGCGGCCCACCAGCTCATGGAGACTGCCACCGTGGGAACGGGCGGAAACCCTCGCGACCCCTCCCCCAAGGGGTCACTCCCCTGAGGCGGGTGGCGGTGGTGGCACCGAACCGAAGGCCACTGCTGGAGCTCGGCCACGTTGTGTCGAAGGAGTCTAGTATGCTTGTGCACATCGAGAAAAACGCAGGAGTCATACCAAAGATCGAGCCAAACTGCTGAAGGACTACTGGCCGAGCCTGTTTCTGGAGGAACCCCCTCTTGAACAACGGCAGCCCCCCTGGAGGCACAGCCTTGCAACAGCAGCTCGAAGGAGTCCGGCGAGAAAGGCGGAGGCGCGGCCAGCCCCGTCCAAATGCAATCGGCCAAGACTTTCCAACCGCACCGAAAAGCCCGGCCCAGAGTGATGTCTTCGCGGTGAAGCATCACCAGGCAAGGGGTCAACTCCCCTGCGAAGGGGGAGTCCGCGACCCCGGGCTCAGCATCCCCCACTGCTGGGCCAGGGCCCCATCACGAACTCCTCGCTTTCGCCTTGGCCTTGCACTTCGCCGCCCCATGGTTGGGCGCACCACAGACGCGCTCGGCCCGGAGAACCACGGCGCAGCGATGGGCCCCATTCGGGCACGGGGGTGCATGCTTGCAGGACCCTTTCTGGTAGTCACCGCAAAGCTTGGTGCCATCTTTCATGACACGGGCTGTGGGCTTACCTCCTATCATGGGGCCCGAGACGAACAAGGAAGACTTGGTTGGCTCAGTGATCACTGGCTGGGGCTTCGGCGCAACTGGCCCTGCCTCCGGCAGCGCTGGCGCCAACCAGTGGGCGTCACGTGCTTCCATGACCTCTTTAATAACTGCTCCGAGTGTCCGGGTCCCCTCCCGGAACCGCGAGACCCACTCCGCTCGCTCCTCGGCGTCCCGATGCTGAAGCCAACCCAGCCGCTGCGCGGGAGCAACTTGCATTGCGGCCTTACGGGCCCGGTAGTAGTATGCCAGCACACAATCCAAAGGCACCTCGACGAACTGGCAAGAGTTGGCGCCCAGCGCTTTCTCTCCCGCCGGGTCAACTCCCGCGATCACCTGCACCCCGTTGAGCGCGTATGCGATCATAAGCGTGTGGAGCTTGTGAAGGTATGTGTCCACATCCCGAGCGACGACCTCGTCGACTTCAGGCTCATCGGTATAGAGGCCGTCAGCCAGCTTGCGCCGCTTTTGTGAGGTGCCTAATTGGAATTGTAGGGATCGCACTCGCCATACGTCATATATACAAAGCATCCTTTTGGAGAGTTCCCGAGAGATGCGGGAGACTGTTGCGTCGGAGGGTTGCACTTCGGCAGGAAAGCGCAACTTGTAGCGAATCCAAAAGGCTTCCTTCAACGTGCGAAGTTCGGAGTCTGCCAAAATCGAGTCGAGGTCGGCCAAGGCAACCTTAGAGCGGTCTTGCTCCGCCTGGGTGTAGTATGTGCATGTTGCCTTCCACGCCCTACGAAGGCGGGCGGTCTGCAACATAGTGGCGTCCCCTAGGCCCAACTTCCCCACCCAGGTACCTATGGCCGCCTCGTTCTCGAATAAGAAGCGAAACTCCTCGAGGTGGCGAATCCCAGTGCCGAGCACTTCTGCGACCACCTTGGCGTCCAAACCGAAATTCATCTGCAGGCTATCCATGCTCGCCTTAATGTCCTGCTCCACTCGAGGGACAAGCGAAACTGACGACATGGGGCCTACGTCGAGGTCGACCCCCCGAAGAGCCTGCACGAGGGTCAAACTCCCAGCCTATCGCCAGCCTCCGCGATCCCCTCGGTCAGCTCCGAGGTTGCGGTACCTTCGAGCAAGGCGAGGACCAACTGGAAGGAGAGAGCAGCAGGCAGCAAGCAGGGAAAAGAGGGTGGGGGCTAGGGACAAGGTGCAGGCACTCAGTCACGACTGCATCACCACAGCCACTGCTGCGCCCGCAACCCTCTTTTTCTCGCTCCTCTTGCTAAGATACGGTACCAGCCACGGCGGGCACACGGGCTCTTATGCGGCACCCGCAAAATAGATTTGCTGGTGGCGAACTGGTCGACTTCGAATTACCGGCATATCGTGGCGAAAGCCTCGCTTCGTCGAGGTGCCTATACCGGAAAATACTTGGAGGATGCTCGTGAAAAGCAGCCCTCACAGATGGGTCGCTCCCATCCGATGGCCTCTAGCTTGCTAGTCGTGCGCTGCGGGTTGAATTGGCCAACCGGCGCCTCTCGATACCCTGCTTGTGCTTGCAGATAGGAACGCCTTCCTCCGGGGACTCGAGATGGAGGTGCGAGCTCGCAGTGGCGATATATCCGCGTGGCTGCACGGGTGTTGGGGGGACACGTGTGTTACGCACGGCCCCGGCCAACCACGAACCCAGGCTGCGGTCTTGCTGGATAGCTCGATCCACCTCGATCTGTCTCACCCTCAGGATCGCCTGGTTCGCCTCCTCCTGGGTCTCGCCTGCCAACACCGCCCGGCATGCGACGCCGGTAGTCGCAGCTCTGTGCCGGCCCGCCATACAGTGGAGTAATACATTGTGGCCCGCCAAAAGCGTGCGTGCGACTGCACTGAAGATGCGGAGCCACTCTTCCTCCCTGGACTGCCTGGCCGAGACGTTGAACAGCAGGTTCCGGCTGCACAGGGCTATGCCTCCCCGTTGTTCCGGGGTACGATCCATACAAGTAATCTGCAAATGGATCGTCGGGAATTGGCCACTGGTTTCCCGCAGCGGCAAGCCGGAAAGGAAAAGACGCCCTCCTGCCGGCGATTCCCAAATACAGGTGGGGCGCTGGACTGGGCGCCTGCCCGCCAAATTGTCGAAGACCGCCTGGTTCTCAGCCTCTTGGGGACACCTGCTCCTGCCCGGAGTCTCGCCGGCCATCACCTTCGGCCGGTGCGTCGGCCGGACGCCGTCGGGAAGCAGGCGCTGGCTCTGGCGATTGTCCGGGGACGACATAGCCGGGAATTAGGCCATATTTCTTTGTGCGGCAGTCCAGGGCCGCATGCTTCCCGCCGCAGACTCTGTCTGTAGAGAGCTTGGTGGCAGCGCACCTGTGGAGGAAAGGGCAGTCGGATCCACGCCGACAGTTACCCAAATTGAAGCCGGTGCACAGCCGGCCGCCGTCCTTGAAGTTCTGCGACGTCTTGTGGCGGCCAATGTAGGGCGGCATGGGGGAACCAGGTGCGGGCACCTCCGCAGCAGCCGAGCTGGGCCGGGCCGAGCTGCTCGCCACTGCTTTAGGCTCCGCCCTGCGCCTCGACCGCAGCTTCGCAAGAGGTAGCACCGGGCCGGCCAAAGACCTGCGTGCAAGAGGGGCAGCCAACCTCATGGTAAACTTCTTGGGCTTGTGCGCGGCGAAGGCGGGTCCCTGCCACAGGAGCTCCTTGTCAGCCCTGACCTGTGATTCGCAGAGGGACTGGGCCAAAGTCCTATGCTCCGCGACGTCCTGCGGGGTCACCGCATCCCACGTCGGATAGGGGCGCAACTCCCCCATATAGGCCCACACCAAGTGCTTGACCCGGACGCTCTCCTTGTAGCGCAACCCACTGTAGTGGACGGGCATGGCACTCCTCTGGTCAGAAACTCGATCTTGCCAGTCCCCAAGGGCGTTCGACTCGCCCGGCGAAAGCTGCGCCAGCATAGCCACAGAAGGACCCAACCGGCGCCAGCTATAGGAGGTCAGCTCCTCCGGATTGGCCACCACGTCCGTGAAAGCCGCCTGCACGGCCAGGGTAGACTCCCTGAGGGACCACGAGAAGCCCCGAGCATCGAAGCATAGCCCGCACTGGCTCCGCCGGCCTTTGGGCAGGGCCTCGAAGGCTTCTTTCCAGGGCTCGGTCCAGTTCCATCCAGAAGCAAAGGCGGCCGGAATGGCAAAGTAAAAACCCTGCCGCAGGCGGCGCTGCTTGCCCTTGTTGCAGAAAGCATGCACGGTCGACCCCGTGATGCGCAGGACCTCGCTCCTGCGAAGGTGGGCATACCGCATGCAGCTGGAGGCCTGCATCCATTGCCCCAGCATCGCAGTCCACCGAGGGTCGCCCATAATGCACCGTTCCTCAATAACCTTCTCCAGGTGGACCAGCATCGGCGGTTCGGCCAAGGTGGCCTGCCGCTCGTCCCTGGGCTTCCGGCGCTGCTCAGTCCGGGGTGCATCCGGAATCTTCCAGGTGAGCTCCGCTTGCTTGGCAGCCCACCGCAAGCCCGCCACGGCACGATGAGGAGCGGCCGAGTTGAAGATGAAGGCGTCCAGGTCCAGGGTGTCCACCTCTTCAAGCCCGTCTCTGCCCCGGGCAACCTGGAAATGCTGAAGCTCGCGGAGGGAGACCACGGCCTTCTTGATCGTGGCCACTTCCGCTTCGCTGCACACTTTGGCAGCACGGCGCCTCACAAAGTTCTCCCACTCAGCTTGGCGCCCCGCGTTGAGCTCACCGCTCGGGCGCTGAACCTTGGCATCTACCCAAAGGTCGGCGAGTTCCTCGACCAATGGTGTCTCCAAGGCAGCGCGCTCCACAGGCGTACGGGCTTGCAGCGGTGCCTTGGGCACGGCTGTCCGCCGCCGCGGCAAAGGCGGGCGAGGCTTAGTGGAGGGTTTGGCCGCCGCCACTCCAGCTTGGGCTGCCTCATGTGCGAAAGCCAGAGCCTTGCCCTCGTCCACTCGCTCGCGGACTTCGCGCCATTTGGCTGCGATTTCTGCTCCAGCTTGCCTCTACGCCTCTTCCGCCGACATAAATACGTAGGCGAACTCCTCGTCATCGGCCAGGCCAAAGGCGCGGCGCCAAGCCTCCACTCGGACCTCTACCGGGGTACCCTGGGCATACACACCGGCCATCGCAGCTGCTAGCAAAGGCCTGAGCCGAGAAGCCGCCGTGGAAGCTGATCGCGAAGGCCGGGCAACAGCAGAGGCAGAGCAGGAGAAGGACTCAAGACCGGGCGGGTCGCCACCGCCGGACAAAAGGCCAGGTCCCCTCCTGACTGCAGCCCCTTCCCTAGGGCTTTGGGGGTCGCCACCCCAATATAGAAACCTGCCTGCGGTCGACTCCGCAACCACTGGCTCCTGCCAGAACGAAGAAAGGGAGCGCCCCTTCCGAGGCTCTCCGTCCTCACGCGCACCCCAGGCAGCGTCCCAGGCAGTCCCCACAAGCTGCTGAATCGCAGCGTCTGCAGCGGAATGCTGTCGGGGCGCCGCAGCTGCGACAGGCCGCGGGTAAAAGGCCCGGTCCATAGGAAACGGCCCCAAGCCATAGCCACAACGTCCTGTGGGCCCTGTCTCTGGCATCAGAAGGAACACCCTGCCCGGGTTCAATCCAGACTCGACTGCCGGCCTGCCAATGTCGGAATACCAGCCACAGCTCCCCCGAAGAAGCCGCGCGGGGGTGGGACTGATCCGCCACCCGCCGAAAAAGTGCGTAGAGGTGGTTCGGCAGCAAATCTGTTGGCCAAAGCCCAGAATGAAGGGCCGTGACGTCGCCAGCCGACAGATAGGAGCGACATGCATGGTAATCACTCCACGCTTGAGCCGGGTCACTCCCTGGACGAACAATTGCTGCTGCACGTGTCAATGTACCCACAAACGGCAGCTGGAACCCTCCCCGGCTCTGGGCGCACCGGGCACAGTCCGTGGCGACACACGGGATCGTGCGGATAGGTGGCAGACCTGGAGGCAACCCCTCAAGCAGCGGAGGGGGGGGAGGGTAATGCTGGATTTCAAAACCTGATGCCCACAGCCTGGCAGCGTCCTCGTTCCGACCCTCGGAAACCAAGTACCGAAGCTGTGCCCGAATATCCAACATGGCCGCTGGGTGCAACACCTGGGCCTCAGTGTGAACAGCAAAGCGGCTGAACACAATTGCGAAGAACGCAGGAGACCCCTGCTCGAAAGCATCTGCCATAATAAGCGGGACACCACCGCAGACTAATGGCAGCAACAAAATCCTGCCTTTTTGGCTCAACTGCCAAGGCTTGAACCAAAAGGCATGATATCGATCGCAGATGATACATGTGCACCCAAGCCTGCCAAACTCTACACATGGTATAAAGATTATCAGGGTAGGTTTGGAGAAATATCCGGGTATTTCATGTCCCCTCCCCTCTTTGGGACTTAGAATATGCAGACGACACTGTCCTCCTTTCATGTTCGGCGGAGCAACTCAACCGCATCCCACACTCCGTCCAACACCATGGTTTTAGGAGGGGTCTCCTTCTTAATGAAGACAAATGCGAGCACTTGCGTCTACACTCGCCAAACCGCATATATTACACGCCGACGGCGCAAACTCCATGCCAGTGCAAACATTGTGGCGGCGTTCACGCCCCTCTTACCCCTGTCCCCCTATCCGATGAGGTTAACCAATAATTATCGCAAGAACACCTCTTATAGAATTTCGCAAGCGGTTGCAGCCTCGAAGTTGCTTAGGCCACTGCTATCTCATGCAGGACCACCGCCATGCGTATCGACATATCAGGGCTCCTAAAAGACCAGGTCGGCCCCGCAAACATTGGACCGAATCCTGCATGACGCAGGCTGCAGAGCGCATCGATCATTTGCTCTCGGACGCTGCCCCGTCTCATGAACAAATACAACACAGCTTCTATCAATTGCCAAATCCGGCTAGCATCGCTGCAGCACACAGCTCCTCAGAGCTAATGTGGATCGACAATATGTCCCTCTACCGAAGAGTGCAGCCACGCTGCCAAGATCGTCAATTTTGGACGAAAGTAGCACACAAACCTCCTAAGGGCCGTGCTTAATTTAAGCCACCAGTGACTCAATTAGGATAGGTCGGTGCTGATGGACTTGTAGTTGACAGCCTTTCGCGTTCGAAAAAAATGCCTGAGTAGTCAAGCACCGGGTTGTTGACGGCTGGCCCTCTGGGGGCCACCCGTGCCACTGTGGGCTCAGTGGATGAGCCACTGCCTTCTAGTGTTTTTACCGGCGGGTGTGGGCTTGGTGAAGGCTCTTTTGGTCTTTTTTTTTTGGCGTATGCGGGCCTCGTCGACTACACGCTGCAGCACTCGGTCCCTGTAAGAAAGAGAGCAACTAACAAGAAATGAATAAGCTGTACAAAAATGCTAGGTGAAACAGGAGCTGCGACATACAGACTTGGTCGGCGAAATCGTTCAGCTCTGATATATACACTGGCCCTCGGATCACTGGCCCTGCTCCCCGTAAGACATGGGTCGCGCAATGGCCACCATCATCAAAATTGTCAAGTTGGTGGCAGTTCGCAACACAAGAGCAAAAGGTGAGTTGCCATGTGCCCAGCTTCCCTTCCAATGGGTCTCGCAAGGGCGAATCACTCATTCAGAGAGCCAGTGTCGTAGAGCAGCCCGTCACAAACAGGCCGCTGTATCCTGGGATGTCAGTGCCCAGCTTCCCTCACAGGGTCTCGCAAGGGCAAATAGAGAAGGAGCACCACAAGAGTGCAACTCCTCCACATCTCAATTCAATAAGGTATCGGAGACCGCAAGCGCGTTATGGGGAGTGCTTGCATCGGTTCCAAGTTGAAAGAAGGCGTAGTGCGCAAGTTAGGCCAACCCAAGGTCCACGGCTGTATACCATCCACTGCATCATGGATGGCCGACGCACGCAGAAAGTCAGTGCCCTCGTATAGTCCAACGACCGCTCGACAGGTATGGCGGGAGACCGCGGCGAGCGTCATCAATGCCTCGAGATCAACTTGGATAATAGTGGCGCCGACTTGGAAGCCAAGCCGAACCCATAGTTGGAGTCTGCGCTCTATTTGCCAACACACAAACACACACCGATCCAGGTATGCGGCTACCGACCGTTGGTATGCCGTCAGCTGTTGCCGAAAGGCAAGACCGGCCGTTTTGCGCTCTCGCGAGCCCACAGCACTCAATAGCTGCCGCGTAGCGACATTCGGCGGAGCGCAGTAGAGCAGCGAGAGGGGTTGAACAGAGACATAGGTGGCGACACGTAAGAGAGTGTTCTCTGATAAATCCGCCATGGCCAGGTATCTACAACCTTACGGAAGGGCAAGGCACATATGATGAGCCCAGCTGCACAGTTGAAAAGATGTCGAGCGTGTAGTGGAGTCACATGGCTGAGCTAAGTCCGATGCAGGCGCAGGGCCCTAGCAGGCGGGCACGATCGCTGCCACCCGCAGATTCAACTTTTTGCAGCAATGACGCCGGTGGCAGCTGCATAGTCTGCGTCTCAAGTCGCGGAGCTCGGCCGTGCCGGTTATCCCGCCGCCCGGGATGGTAATCGTAGTACCTATCTTCCCAGACCCAGACACTGTACGAACTGGCCCCGCAGAGCTGGTCCTCGATTACCCTGCATTCGAGGCCCTATCGCGCCCAGCTTCCCGCTTCCCAATCGGGTCTCGCAAGGGCACTGAACGTATGGTAAGGCCAGTCCTCTGAGATCGATGGACCCTTTGGGCATCCCGAGGGCCATGCAATGCAGAGCTGGGCGTAGACTATGCCATAGCGTATTTGTCGTCACCAGTAAACCCGGCAGCCGGTTTGATGCGCCATGATGCTGCCCATGCTTGGCATCATTCAAGCAATGAGAGAGACGCCCGTAAGCACGCACATGGGCAGCCTGTCAAGCTGCCCCACTGGGGGCGACGCCAGATGATCAAGGTACGCAGGCAAAACCTGACAAGAGAAAGTGAAACCCCTAAACGGGGAGCACGGACTTGCCTTGGGGAGCACAACCACGAAAGGTGGTGGGGCTGAGCAGTGCATCCCAGCCAGCCTAGCAGTTTTCCTCGAATGCAACGAAGGGCCAGTGCAAGCCAGGCATGCTGGCAGCCCTCTAAACACGACTCTACTCCGTGCTTGCAGTCCGGCCACCCGAAATGTCAGGCGCAGGGGCACAATGCCCCGTCCACAAAAGGAGGGGTGATTCCCGCGGCTCGAGTCCCGCAGCTAGCTTGTGTTCAGAGCCCACCTCGCCCAGCTTCCCACTGGTGGGTCTCGCAAGGGCTAAGGTATGGCCGGTCAAGGGTCATGGCTCAGGGCTAAGTCCGACAGCGGTAGCCGCAGGCGTGTAAACGGTAGTTCCCCCCACCGTTCGACAGAAAAGTAGGGCAGCCCCCACTGCTCCATGCATGCGAAGGACCACGGCTGCAACTCAATAGGGGCCTCCTGAATGGCTGGTGTCCGAAGGAATGCCGCTTGCTGGAGGGACTGAGAGACTAGCTCGTAGGCCTCCCGAGACACCGATGCCAGCGTGACAACATGCTCTAGATCAATTTGTACCACGGTGGCCCGCACATGAATGCCGAGTCGTGCAGGAACCTGAAAATCGTGCGCCACCCGATAGCTGTAAAGGTTGTACTGTGCGAGGTGCACTTCAACTCGGGAATAGTGGGCATCATACTGGCGCTGACCTCATGAAGTGCCGGGTGACGTCACATGGCGGTGTTCCAAAGAGGGCTGGAATCCGTTGTAGGACAATCCAAGGAATGACAGCAACCAACAGGAAGTCCGGCAGTGCCTCCATGGTGGCGACTGAACTGCGGCTACGCCGTCTGGCTACTTGCCCTCCGCTAGTGATAGAACTCCGCAAGATAAGCCAGGTACATGTGCATGTGAAGGCTCCTGGCAAAAAGTATCCACGGCTGCGTTGCTAGCCATCTACCACTGAAAAGGGGGCTCATTAGGGTTCGGACTGCACTGTGCTTGCTGGACTCACATATCTGCCCGTAGCCGAATGGCCAGGACCCAAAACGGGCACACCAGCTGCTGTGGTAGGCCGACTAAGGTCAACCATCGATCTGTCGGTCGTCCACGCACCTTATTATAGGCGGACATTAGGCGCATGTCGCGCCTAGTAGCGTTCGGCAACCTCCCAAAGTATCCTGCGGAAGTAACGGTGATCTTCCATTTGTTCGTCATTTAAGGGGTACAGAAACTTCCACTCTCCATTATCCAAGCGCTTCTTAAGCTGGCGCCAAGTGTACCAGTAATTGGTGGAAGAAGTGTGGTAGTCAGGTACAAGCCGGAATCCTAAGAACTGATAATCAAGGCCGTTACCCAGTCCCCCTTGTGCCCGGAACTGCCGAGCAGCAGCTACCCAGTCTTCTAGGCGGTGGTTCCATCCCAGAGTGTATGGCTGGTAGCCATCATGGGCGCGCATAGGAACATCCGCGAAGTCCCGACGGACGATCTCCGCATGCCGGCCTGTCACCGTATGGCTGCCCAGCAGATAGAGTCGTTCTGGGTAATACATGGTGATGCGTTTGGGTCCTGGTAGCCAGACTGCCAGGGCTGCACGTAAGTCATAGCCTTCCTGGTGTGTCCACTGTCGAACTCTAGCCAGCGCACTCGACAAAAGTCCAGCTGGCTGCAGGCTCAGTGCCGCTGCTGGTCGCAAGCCGAGCGCTTCTTCTGAGAGCGGAATGTAAATGCGAAAGCGTCCTTGATAAGCGGCCGGATGGGTGAAGATGTCGGGATTCACGCAGGCATGATGAAGCGCGATGACGCCATTTTCCCAGTACTGCCGTATATCCCTATGCGTAATTGCAAAGGACAAATTTCCCGTGCTTCGAAGGAGGCCGCGAGGCGAATGCCAAGTTGTCCCTGTCTCCCCTCATCCGCGGCCTGTTGGTCGCTGTCACGAAAGGCTTCGAGAACCGAAAGATGCGGGTAAGCCTGAGGACGATCGACCAGGCGCCGGACCACATAGAGCAGCACCTGGATGGGGAGCAGGGCACTGCAATACTGAAGTGGCGAGATCCGCCTGCTGGGACCACCTAGGGCCATTAATTTAAAGCTGCCATCCCTCGCCATGGTATTGTCCAGCGTGGCCAAATCTGCATGCTGCCACTGCGCAACGATTTCGCCCACCAGCAGCCACCACCAAACTTGAGGCCTCGCGAGTTCGCGCCAGCTCAGGTCGAAGGCCTTGTCATCTGCC